AAATTTGTATACAAGGGAACAAGACGTAAATAGTACTTTTTTTAACAGATTCTGAAGAGATCATGAGGTTCATAGGTATTTTGTTGTTCATGGGTATTGCTTCACTACCCTCCCTCGAAGACTATTGGAAAACTGCTTTTAGGGGCCAACAGGTTGCAGATAGCATGGCATCTAAGAGGTTTAGGTACCTTAGAAAATCATATTCATTTCAATGACAACACAAAAAAAAGGGTAATGATAGATTCTACAAAGTAAGGCCTCTTTACACTGAACTAACTAATGCTTGCTTGAAAATTCCAGCTACACCCAAGCAAACTAATGATGAAGTCATGGTTGGTTTTAAGGGTAAAACTGCTGGAAAACCTAAGGCAGTAAAATCAAAACAAAACCAGATAAGTGGGGTTTCCAAACTTTTTTGTCGTGCAAGTCAAGATGGAATCATACATGATATACTCATGTATCAAGGGACAACAACTTTTGACACACATCCCATACAGCTGCCACAGGAAGAATCTAAACTTCCAATAAGTACAAAGATTGTTCTGGTACTTGCACAAACTATGAAACAAGACAAACACATCAGCAATCTATGCTGACAATTTCTTTTCAAGTATGCCTTTGGTCAAGCTACTAAGAGATAAGTATAACTGCAGATACACTGGAACAGTACTGACAATAGGGTGTGGTAAGCCACATCTGGTGCCTATCAAACAAATGGAAAAAAACAGTGTTGGTCAGGGGCAATTTTTTTCTTCAACAACAATGATGGTGTCCTTTTTGTACGATGGGAAAGGGCACCAAAGTTGTGACTTTAGGACAACTGATATTGGGGTCGAGCCCATGAGTCTTGTTGAGAGATATAACAAGGGTACAAAGAGGAAAGAGAAAATATCGTGCCCTGCAGTCATCAAGAACTATAATGCAAACAGGGAGGTATTGACAAAAGCAACATGTTGGTGCATCTCTACAAAACACCAATGAAATCAAAAAAAGTTGGTACATGCGGCTATTTGCCTATATTATTGATCTTGCTGTTGTGAATGCAGGCTGCTTTATTGCCGTGATTCTCGAGCAATAAAGCAAAAGTGTATGCAACTGAAGTATTTCAGGAATTTCTATTTTCTGAAAAATTTCAAGGTCTAAAGGACAAAACCTTAGAGGGAGCAGCCTAAACAACTCCAAGACCTTCACCAACTTTAAATTTACCATGTACTTCCAATGGTGTTGGCAAGTGAAAACCCGGGGGGGGAACACGTACAAAAAATGCCTGATGACAGTGTTAGGGAAAAACATTACTCTAATGCAACTTCCCAATGGCAGGGCAAAGGCCGTTTACTTGCAAGTATTGCAGCACCTCGAAAAAAACGGTAACATCGTCATTCGTCTGTATGTAGCAAAATAAATCTGTGCAATAAAGACTGATAGAAATTGTTGCCAATTAGCAATATAGAATCATTGGTCCCTTCCAATGAATCTCGGAATATAGGGATTGAAACTTGCATCACTTTGCAATTTTTGGGATTGTTGATTTGCTTCCTTTTTATATTTTTGTAACAATTAAAACATGTTTTGATACAAGTTCCATTTATGTTTTTTATATTGTCTGTTTGTATATTAAATTTAAAAAATTGTTTTGGTGTGTTTTATTAACAATTGCAAGTTTGCAACATAAAATTTTTTAATCACTTTGTCGGGGGCGGCCTAATATTTTCGGTCTTCGGAGATTGGCAATTGCTCGAAAACTAACCATCAGAAATCAATTTATATGGGATCAGTGACCTTGTATTGAGTTACTCTATCCACCATAGGGAGTTCAGTTCGAATTTCAAATTTTCGGACCCCTTGCGCGATGAAGGGTTAACTGATTAGTTTTTCAGAACTTTTTTTTTTTTCGTATTCACGTTCTCTCCGTATTCTGAGAATTTGACAGTAATGATCTGAGTGCGCACCAGATGCCTTTGCTGTTAATTTCACCTTGTATATATATATTTATTCTTCCTCAGAATCCGTAGAGTGCATGAAAACAGATTGATCGATCAATTCCATCCCATATTGTACAATGATTTGTTCTTATAGTTTGTAATGCATTACGTAAAACTCATTTTGTTAACATCCATTATGATACCATCCATTAATTCTAAGTTATATATGAATTTGTTATTGTATAGAATCAGCCCAGAACCACCTGCCTGTTCAGCCTATAGATAGTAGTGTATGTCGAGATGACATACGTAACATGACCGAGCTGTCAGCATAGTTGCTGATCCCCGTGTTGTATAGCATATCAATATCATCCATGTGCTTTAGATAGGAGATCCCAAGGCCTGTGACTGTTTGTGTAACGTCACGGGATGCGCATGTGTACGTTCGTACCTCTGCCACCTTCTCAGTCGACACTTAGACATCCAGGCGAGAACACGGCAAGGCTGGGCTCCATCTCCCTTTACCACAGTCTGACAATACATCGTTACCATCCAACAAGTGTGTCTACCTTCAACCCTCGATATCTCCTTTTAAGAACCCCTACGATACAAAGAAAACCACTAGCATGCATCTGCATTTCAGGCAGACTAATCCTAATGATCACAGACTACCTCAGTAATTTGGATAGATATCAGAGAAAACAATAATAATAATAATAATATTAACAATAATATTCTGATGCTGATACAGTCAGAGAGCAATTCTGAACTAATCTCATTCTCTGATCAAAGGGATATTAACCTGTAAACGGTCCAAACGTATATATACGTTCACTACCCCAGTGCCCCGAATATTTTGAAAAATAATTTTTTTTTTTACTGAAAAAAGAGCACATTTTTCTAAGTGTTATAGGATAAAAAAAAAAAACTTTTTAGGGTCAGTACTTAGAGAGATATGAGGCCACAAAGTTGGCACTTGGAGATCACCTGGCAGCAACATAGAGCTCTGCAACTTGCAGAAGTGTTGCCAATATATCCTTTTTTCCATTTTTCAAATTATTTTATATAATCTTTATGTTCTGATAATTACAATTTATAGTTCTTCTTGTCATTTCATAACTAATCTTTGTTCTGACACTAGTATTAGGTACTGAAATTATACTTACATTGTCACAAACGCATTGACAGGTGGATATTTACACCTGCATTGGCCATTTACTATTGTCTTTGAATATATACAATGTATTTGTATGTCCCAGCAATGTTTTGGATATGTGGAAGTATATAAGAGGGGAGGGAGGGGAGGGAGGGGGAGGAGAGGGGAGGGAGGGAGGGAGGGAGGGAGGGAGGGAGGGAGGGGAGGGATGGGGGAGGGGAGGAGGAGGGAGGGAGGAGGGGAGGGGATGGGAGGAGGGAGGGGGAGGGGGAGGGGAGGGAGGGGGAGGGAGGGAGGGGGGAGGGAGGGGGGGAGGGGAGGGGAGGGAGGGGGGAGGGGGGGAGGGAGGGGAGGGAGGGAGTACACCTGACACCCCAATACTTTGGGATGTCAGGAATGGATTAATTTGATTTCCATTATTTCTTATGGGGAAAATTAACTCGAATAACGATAATTTCGACTAACGATGAGCTCTCAGGAACGGATTAATATCATTGGTTGAGGGTCCACTGTATATGTTTTTTATTTTGTGTTCTGTGCCCTGTTCCTACGAGAGAGAGACCGAGTTATTTTTACCGCCAGACATGGTCGGGACGACCATGTGGTAGGTGGCCGAGCGTATGTTGACAGCCTGTGCTGTCTGCCAGCTTAGTTCATATTTCGCGGCACTCAGGTGCTGCCCTCTAGGCCTGCAAAGGTCAGTAGGACGCTGGTCCCACTCGCTCACACACTCAGCAGCCTAGAAGCAGTCAACAAGTCTACTAGCTCTCTCCCTCGTGGGCATGGCCCTCCCGGGCCATGGGCACTCAACACACAAGCCTGTGTACCCACCACAACTTTGCAAATAAAGAAGCCTCCAAAGACGTTTATAATTGAACCCCGTTCTGCAAGAGCCACCAAACAAACGGGTTATATGTGTACGTGTGTGTGTGTGTGTGTGTGTGTGTGTGTGTGTGTGTGTGTGTGTGTGTGTGTGTGTGTGTGTGTGTGTGTGTGTGTGTGTGTGTGTACATGTGTGTGTATGTGTACGTGTGTGTGTGTGTGTGCCTGTACACACACACACACACACACACTACCTGCATCCCTGGAGTAGCTGAAAATTTTGATCACTGAAGCAGTTCGCATGATAACTCCCGATAGGCTGCAGAGCATCTGGACCAAACTGGACTATCGCATCGATGTTTGCCGAGCAATCAGAGAGGCTCACATTGAGTGCCTTTAATGCCACCCTATACCACATGAAACTGAATGAAATCCTGCATCTGAAGCTACTAACTGTGAAAGATTATTACAATAAATTTACATGTTATACCTGTTTGAAATCAGGGAGTGTTTTTGTGGACACCCTGTACTATAAATTCATGTTCTGCTATGCAAGCAATACGTATTTTACAAATGTATTACATTTCCTTTAGATAAACCACTTACACTAAAATCAACCCAAAATACCACAAAAAATTATGACTAATATTATGCTTGGGTATGGGGGAGGGTGGTCATGGAGGGATATAGCACAACTTCCCAAGTTCTTATGCATATCTATGTTCAGTACTGTATAAAGTTCAACATCCACAAGCTTCTGAGGCAACACATTATTCACGGATGCTGAAAATATTAGTACTACAACAAATTAATACATGCAGTAACAAACAATTCTCTCAATCTAATACAGTACCTGTATTTATACAACTGGTTAATGAGTGCAAATCTGCAGTTATTTTTTTAAATATTAACAGAGTACTGTATTTTCTATAACCCTTTAATCATTATCTTTCAATGCCCCACAAAATGATGGATGAAATCCGGTAGTAAAAAAAAAAAAAAAAAAAAAAAAAAACTTACCAGTTTTAAGTGTACAGAACAGTGCATTAGATATCATAGGGTTAGTAGGTACAACATGCATAATAACAATGCACAGTTACCTCCAGCACTCTTAGGTGGTAGAGCAGCACCTAGGACGGATCTTCTAACAGGTGGGGCACTGCTGGCTCGTGACTTGCTGCCCCCAGACTTCACCTGTAAATCACATGACAGCTCCATAAACCTGATTTTGTAGGTGTATAATATTCATAGTTTTTTAACATATTGATTTATTCCACTGTTCTACATTGATAAAACCAATAAAGACTTTAGGGAGGCAAACAGAAATATATATATATATTATAATCCCTTCTAAAGTGAATTACTGAAATTCAATACAACATAATCAAGTGAAAAATTTACCATATACAAGAATTTAAAAGGTACATGAAAAATTGCCACTTTTTTTCATACAATTACAATATTTTTTTTTACTTCAAGAGGTCAACACATGTCATATTTTTCAGTTAGCCACTGTGGTTACAAACAATCAGTTCAAAGCACCACCATATGTCTTTGCTTGGGTGGGTGAAGAAGAGATAAGCAAGAACAAAAATAACAAAAGCTGTTGCTGTGTCTTTTCCTTTACATTTATATTTAACCAGCCTTCTGTCATAATAAAGCTCTTACTAAGTATAAAAGCCACAATACTGTGGCTTGAACAGATCTCAACATGCCCACAAATTGTAAATGAGAGCTGGATGACATGACTGTCCTTCCTGGACCACTGTCAAACTGCACCATAATAGTGGTTCAGAATGAACTGAAACACTGTCCAGTTCAAATTTCCAATTTGTAGGCACACTGCCATTCTTACTAACACTGACGTTCATTACATACAAAGAAACATATATTAGCATCGTTCCACACAATGTTGGTGTCACAAAGTTCAAGTAGTAGAATGATTTCCAATTCAGTTTAATTAAATCTCATTTAAAAATTACACAGCATGCCTTCAGGTAAAAAAAACACTTTTACATTTACAAACAATTACCACTTTAGCAAAGTAAGCATGTTCCTTTATCCTAGTTAAAAATTTAAGTTTGAAATCCACTACACAGTATGAAGTGTTTCAAGTATGGCAGATGTATACATAATCACCAAGATACATGTCTGTGTTTAATAATTAACTATAATTACCTATTTGTAGTTATACAGCAGTAGAACTAAGCACCTCGTGTTCTATAATTATTCAAATGATACAGTACATTTTCCTAATATCCAACGTTTAGTGTAAACCATCACCTTCCAAAGCCCACCACACCCTCCTACTGCGCCACTTTAAAAATCAAAATAATACATGTACATAGAGTACTTCATTTTTTCACATCTTTATTCACAATTTAAAACTGTGGCCTATCCGGTTTGTTTTAAAAAAAATATATATACAGTGGACCCCCGCATACCGTCGCCATCACATAACGTACAATCCGCATACCGCTCGCTTTTATCGCAAAAATTTTGCCTCGCATACCGCTCAAAAACCCGCTCACCGCTCTTCGTCCGAGACGCATCCAATGTGCGCCCTTAGCCAGCCTCACATGTGCCGCCGGTGGCATTGTTTACCAGCCAGCCTCTGCGGTAACATCCAAGCATACAATCGGAACATTTCGTATTATTACAGTGTTTTTGGTGATTTTATCTGCCAAATAAGTGACCATGGGCCCCAAGAAAGCTTCTAGTGCCAACCCTACAGCAATAAGGGTGAGAATTACTATAGAGATGAAGAAAGAGATCATTGATAAGTATGAAAGTGGAGTGCGTGTCGCCGACCTGGCCAGGTTGTACAAGAAACCCAAATCAACCATCGCTACTATTGTGGGCAACAGAAAGGCAATCAAGGAAGCTGTTCTTGCCAAAGGTTTAACTGTGTTTTCGAAACAGAGATCGCAAGTGATGGAAGATGTTGAGAGACTCTTATTGGTGTGGATAAATGAAAAACAGCTAGCAGGAGATAGCGTCTCTCAAGCGATCATAAGCGAAAAGGCTAGGAAGTTGCATGAGGATTTAATTAAAAAAATGCCTGCAACTAGTGATGATGTGAGTGAATTTAAGGCCAGCAAAGGTTGGTTTGAGAGATTTAAGAAGCGTAGTGGCATACACAGTGTGATAAGGCATGGTGAGGCTGCCTGTTCAGATCACAAAGCAGCTGAAAAATATGTGCAGGAATTCAAGGAGTACATAGACAGTGAAGGACTGAAACCTGAACAAGTGTTTAATTGTGATGAAACAGGCCTGCTTTGGAAGAAAATGCCAAGCAGGACCTACATTACTGAGGAGGAAAAGGCACTCCCAGGACATAAGCCTATGAAAGACAGGCTTACTTTGTTGATGTGTTCCAATGCTACTGGTGATTGCAAAGTGAAGCCTTTATTAGTGTATCACTCTGAAACTCCCAGACCGTTCAGGCAAAAGAATGTCCTCAAGGAGAATTTGTGTGTGCTGTGGAGGGCAAACAGTAAGGCATGGGTCACTAGGGACTTTTTCTATGACTGGTTACACCATGCATTTGCCCCCAATGTGAAAGATTACCTAACTGAAAAGAAATTAGAACTTAAGTGCCTCCTGGTGTTAGACAATGCCCCTGGTCATCCTACAGACGTGGCAGAGCGACTTTATGGGGACATGAAATTCATTAAGGTGAAGTTTTTGCCTCCTAATACCACTCCTCTCCTGCAGCCCATGGACCAGCAGGTTATTGCAAACTTCAAAAAACTGTACACAAAAGCTCTGTTTGAAAGGTGCTTTGTAGTGACCTCAGAAACTCAACCGACTCTAAGAGAGTTTTGGAGAGAGCACTTTAATATCCTCAATTGTGTAAACCTTATAGGTAAGGCTTGGGAGGGAGTGACTAAGAAGACCTTGAACTCTGCTTGGAAGAAACTGTGGCCAGAATGTGTAGACAAAAGGGATTTTGAAGGGTTTGAGGCTAACCCTGAGAGGATTATGCCAGTTGAGGAATCCATTGTGGCATTGGGAAAATCCTTGGGGTTGGAGGTTAGTGGGGAGGATGTGGAAGAGTTGGTGGAGGAGGACAATGAAGAACTAACCACTGATGAGCTGATATATCAACTTCAACAGCAAGAGGCCAGACCTGAGGAAACTGGTTCAGAAGAGGGGAGAGAGAAATTGAAGAAGTTGCCTACTACAAAGATTAAGGAAATCTGTGCAAAGTGGCTTGAAGTGCAAACCTTTTTTGATGAAAATCACCCTCACACAGCTATTGCAAGCCGTGTTGGCAACCTGTACACTGACAATGTTGTGAAACACTTTAGGGAAGTCATAAAGGAACGAGAGGTACAGGCCACTATGGACAGGTATGTTGTGCGAAAGAAGTCCAGTGACTCTGAAGCTGGTCCTAGTGGCATTAAAAGAAGAAGGGAAGTAACCCCAGAAAAGGACTCGACACCTCAAGTCTTAATGGAAGGGGATTCCCCTTCTAAACACTAACACTCTCTCTCCCCTCCTCCCATCCCATCAATCATCACCAGATCTTCAATAAAAGTAAGTGTCATGTAATTGTGCATGCCTTTTTCAGTTTGTGTGTATTAAAATTAACATTTTATGTGGTAAAATTTTTTTTTTTTCATACTTTTGGGTGTCTTGCACGGATTAATTTGATTTCCATTATTTCTTATGGGGAAAATTCATTCGCATACCGATCATTTCACATAACAAAGAGCCCTCTTGCACGGATTAAAGTCGCTATGCGGGGGTCCACTGTATATATGTATAGTATTTACCCATCAGTGCCAAGGAAGGATTCACAAGTCACTGTTTAAGGAAATAAGTTATCCAATAATGTTGCCCAAGGACCACTGGTAACTAAATTAATCATTTAAAAGAGCCCACAGCAATGTGTTGCACTATGGAGTACGAGATACTCCAGGTAGTGAACGGGGTGTAGAGCTATTGACATAGCAGTAGGGTAGTAACCAGTACATATATAGATTAGTTACATAACCACAGCCTTTAAAACTGTCTGTGCAAGTGCTGTAGTTACATCTCCTTCCTTTCCCTTTTTTTTTTTACTAGAGTGACCATTTCCCACTAAGGTGGGGTAACCCTAAGAAGGAAACACTCGCAACACTCGTCAAAATAACAATACGCATTAAGTAAATCTCTAAGCCTGAGTAGATAATTCAGTACACAGAGTGGAGGAGATTTAATCCTTGAATCTGCTAAGTGTAGCTAATATCTAACTAGTTGTCATTGGGTTTAGTTTTGATTACTCATTTTTTAGTGTAATTTATGTGTACTGCATCAATGCCTTCTTTTTCCACAAATACAGTTTTTTTTATTTATCATACTTTAACTTTTCATTATAACATGGCAATAAATATTTAAAGAACAGTACTTAAGTCTTTAGATAAAAGTCTCTGGGCTAAAAAAAAAAAAAAGGATATTCACATTACCCTAAGAGTTTCATACCTATCAGCTTAAATGCAGTACTGTCAAAAGTCAGCAAGTGCCCCCCCCCTTTTTCTGAGGGGGGCTTCTCTCTTTAGCCTCAAGAGCTCAGATACTACACTTGCATTGTACTGCCTCCTCACTTGCTGCTGCAGTTTTGTGTGTGTACACTCCAGGATTAAACACACGACTTTGGAGTATAGATTCCATATTTGAATCAAATTACAACTGCATATCTACTCATCATCATAATTCTACACCATACTGTGCATACTGGTAAATAAGCAAAACACACAAGTAAAAGAGCATTATATTCTGAGAGCAGTACAGGTACTGGCAGGCTTGCACGGTGCATGAGTAAAGCTGAAGAACAATTCACTAACTACAGAAACTGGAACATTGAGTAAGAAATCCTACCTTCATAATGTTGGAAGAATGCCTATTTCATTTTAAAGAAGAGCAAAAAACTTCAAAAGCAGAGATTTGCATCACTTTGGAAATACTGTTCAAAGAATGTTAAGTCAGAATAAAAATCTGTGGTCCAGGGTTTATTTACACTACAGTGAAGGTGTGCCTCTTTCTGGGAATATTTTAATAAAGAATGTCAAGAAACTTCATAAAGAAGTGACCTTGAAAATAGACAAGACTGTAACTGGGGCTGACTTCACAAGTTCAACAAATGTCACAAGAATCTTGTTAACAATCTACCAAAAAGATTGAACAGATCATGGTGATGTCCAACAATA